GGAAAGGGGTGTGCATGTGTTGGGTAGGGAGTGTCCCGGTGACTGTGTGCAGCTGTGATCAGGCACTGAGGCTTGCCTCCCAATCTCCCTTCAGACCCCAAGGCCAGGAGCCTCTGGAGAAGGCTCCAGTGGTTCTGCTTCTTCATCGTTAGTCAGTCTACAGCTGACTTTCCAGAGAACTTCCTACAATAGAACTTCTGACAGTGATGGAAATGTTTTCTACCCGCACTTTCCAATACGGCAGCCGCTTCTTGGCACGTGGTTATTAAAGTTAAAGTGGCTAAAATTCACGAAAATAGAAAACCCATCCCTCGGCCACACTTGGCAGATCTCACATTCTCAAGAATCTTGCGTTTTGCGTGGCCACCGGCTCGGTGGGTGCAGATAGTGAACATTTCTATCAGAGCAGGAAGTTCTATGGACAGTGCTGTCCTGGAGGTGTGAGGCCTGTCCACCTCAGGGAGTGGAATTGGTCTGGCCGAACCACCACTCAGCAGCCATTGCAGAAGGTTTTGTTGAATTCGTGTTTGCTTCCTCCCAGCCCATCATTTCGTGCTGGACTGTTGAAGTAGCCCCCTTCTTGGTCTCCATTCTGCCATCAACTCCCCAGTGCTGCCGGCGCCTGTGACCTGAATGATCTCTAGCAGGCAGACATAGGATGCTGCCACTCCCTTGCCCCAAGCTGAAGGGTCTCCAGCCTTTGTCCAGGGGACAAAACCCAAATCTATATGACGCAGACCCTGCTTTCTGGAATAGCTTCGTGTTTATACCTCTCCTCCGCTGACCACATTTCTCCTTGTCCCCTTACGATCCAGGATCACCAGGCCAGTGCTGATCCCAAAATCTGCTGGGCCCTTTCACAGCCCTCTGCCTTTGCACAAGCTGTGCCTCCTGCAGGAAATGCCCTCCGTGCCCTTCTCACCTCGTGGGGGCCTGCTGACTTGCTCAGCCTCAGAGCCCAGCTCTGTCACTCCCCCAGTGAAGCCTTCCCGGACCCTATCCCTCTGCACAGTTTTTCAGATTTCTCCCTTAATGCACGTATGACCACACGCTGAGTTGTTCTCCATCTTCTTTGCCTACCAGGCCAGAAGCCCCCTGAGGGCTGGGCTGGGTCTTTGTCATTTTTTGTCCCCAGGACTTTGTATGTGGCTGGTGCCCACTCAGTGTTTGCATTGTGAACCCTTGGGTGTGCAGGGAAGGCTTGGAGCGGGTGGAGTGTGGAGCTGGGGCTCCTGAGGGCAGCCATGGATGGGGGCCACTGTGCCCTCTTGGCTTGCCCCAGGCAGGGCGGCCACTGCCTGCAGAATGGCTGGGGGAGGACTCACGAGGTGGACAACCCAGAAGAGGCTGTTGCTGGCTGATTCCGGAAGTCTTGGGCACATTCCCAGGGTGCAGATCCCACAACCTAGTGGTGAATCAGAAGAGATGCGGAGAATGGGACTCAGAGGGTCCCTGAGACTGTGGAGTGGAGTATAGAAGCTGGGTGGAAGGACTGGGTTGGGGAAATTGCGGGAAGGGTGTGGTTGGGGATATTTGATGGCCAAGATCACAGTTGAGGGCAGAGTGACAGCTGGGACAATAGGGATGGAAGATGGCTATCCACGAAGATGTATCTGGGGGCTGGGGACAGCTGGGGCTGAGGGAACAGGTGGTAGGGGGACAGCTGAGAGTTGGGGGACAGATGGAAGACGGAGAGAACAGGAGGGCATGGGACAGTTGGGGGATAAGAGGCGACCACTGTGAGGTGTCAGAAACCTGTGTAGGGGCACCTGGGTGGCTCAGTCGGTTAAGCATCTGACCCTTGATTTCGGCTCAGGTCATGATCTCATGGTTTGTGAGTTCGAGCCCCGTGTCAGGCTCTGTGCTGACAGTGAGGAGCCTGCTTGGGATTCTCTGTCTCCCTCTCTCTGTCTCTGATCCTCTTCCCTGCTCTCTCTCTCTCTCTCTCTCAAAAAAATAAAAAAATAAAACTTAGAAAAAAAAAGAAACCTGTGTGGACAAGGATAGGTGGGTCTTAGCTGAGTGGAGGTACGTGGCTCAGAATGCACGTATGTGTGTTTACGTGTATGTACGTGTCGTGCACGTGCATAAGTATGTGTTTTACCTAGAGTGTGGTTAAGAGCACGGGTTCTGGGTTCTGATCCCAGCTCCCGCCGTCACTAACTGTGTAATACTTGGGCAAGTTGCTTGACCTTTCTGGGCGTTTAGTGAGATCGGGATAATTATAGAACATGCTGCATGGAGTTGCCATGAGGATCTATTTTATCGACATAGGTATATAGTTAGAACAGGGCCTGTCACATAGTAAGCACGGTGGAAGTGATAACGATTATTAAGCACGTGTGTGTGTGTGTGTGTGTGTGTGTGTGTGTGTGTGTGTGTGCAGGCATCCTGCATGCTCAGAAAAGTTTGTTCCTGGCTTCTGATGAAGTCCAGAGGTATTGGCGGTAGGGGAGGGCGGGAGGGGACAGCCAGGGGGGTTAGATCTGGCTCCTCTCTGACATCCTCCCCGCTGTTCATCCCACTTTCGGATCATCCTGCCACCAGAGCCCGGTCCAATAGATCTCCCTCTCTGTCTCTGCCCTGCCCTGCCCCACACTGTCCTGCCCTGGGCTGGGGGCCAGGCGATATGCTTTAATTGCCCAAAGGCTTTTCAGCAGAATCTGAATTCATTGTTTGCCTGCCAGCAGGCTGGGGCCTGCTCAGATACGAATACCTGGACAATGTGCTCAGTTCTGGCTGCCTATCCCATGGAGAGCGATGGCTTCATCCTGTGCCCTTGGAGAGTCACTGGGGTGGAAGATGTGGGCGTGGGGGGGGGCAGGGTGGAGGGAAGCCCACAGGGCAGACGGGGCCTCAGCCCCCAAACCATGGTTCAGACAGCCCAGGCTGGCGGAGCTAGAGGCACAGGGTTTTCCAGGAGTCGGCGCGTCCCATGTTCTCCAGGGCATCACAGCACACACGACCTCTCTATAACACTTTGGTCGTGTGTCGCATCTTCGACTTACACTAACAACTGCACTACATCGCGGCTCTGGATATGTGCCTTCCGGCCATGTGTGCCTACCGTGCCGTTGCTGCCCGAACGCCGCCCCTCACGGCATCCCAGCCTCTCTTGGTGTTACCGCTGAGGAGTCTGCTGGCGGCCTTTCCCCCAGGTTTCTGTGGGCAGGCCCGGTTGAGCAACATCCTTGCCTCGGGCGTCCCCCCTGTGTGCGGGCCTCTGTCCCACCCCGCACACTGCTCGGGGAGTCTGGACTCACACTGCAGCTTGGAGCCGCTTTGTTGGGCTTTGGGACCGGCTTGGGTTTTTGCGGGTTAGCACCTTTGCCCAGGACCCCGCATACTGCACAGGGTTACAGCCCTGAGCCTCTGCCTGCACTACAGGTGCTCGCTGTTAAGTCGTGTGAACTCTGCCGGATTTCAGGACCCCAGGATCCTTGCGTTGAGTTCACTGTTCCGCACAGCATCTTCACGGCACTCCGTTTTTGCGTCTCTTTCCACCCCTGCCCTTGAGTCTACCCCTATCCTGCTGCTCAGGACTACGTCTGGCTTGTATTCCGGATTGGGCTTGCGTGCCCGGCAGTTCCTTCTGCGCCCCACCACACCCTCCGCATCCCCGTGTCTCTGTACTGTTGTGCATACTGACGCTGGACACATGCTTTCAGCGAGAAGTCATGGAGCACCAGCTATGTACCTGGCCCCGTGCTAGTGTCTGGAGAGGGAGAAGAACCAGTAAAGCTTTCTTTTTTTTTAAGTTTTTTTTTTAATGTTTATTTATTTTATTTTATTAAAAAAAATTGTTTAGGGGCGCCTGGGTGGCTCAGTCGGTTAAGTGTCCGACTTCAGCTCGGGTCATGATCTCGCGGTCCGTGAGTTCGAGCCCCGCATCGGGCTCTGGGCTGATGGCTCAGAGCTTGGAGCCTGCTTCCGATTCTGTGTCTCCCTCTCTCTCTGTCCCTCCCCCGTTCATGCTCTGTCTCTCTCTGTCTCAAAAATAAATAAAACGTTAAAAAAAAATAAATTGTTTAATGCTTATTTATTATTATTGAGAGACAGAGCATGAGCAGGGGAGGGGCAGAGAGAGGAGGAGACACAGAATCCGAAGCAGGCTCCAGGCTCTGAGCTATCAGCACAGAGCCCGACGCGGGGCTCGAACTCACGAACCGGGAGATCATGACCCGAGCTGACGTCGGACGCTTAACCGACTGAGCCATCCAGGTGCTCCAGTGTTTATTTTTGAGAGAGAGAGACAGAGACCGGGTGCAAGCAGGGGAGGGACAGAGAGAGAGAGGGAGACACAGAATCCCAAGCAGGCTTCAGGCTCCAAGCTGTGAGCCCGGAGCCCTATGCGGCACTTGAGCTCCTGAACCGAGAGATCATGACCTGAGCCGAAGTCGGATGCTTAACCGACCGAGCCACCCAGGTGCCCCCTGAACCAGTAAGGCTTGAACTCGGCACCTTGGCATTCCTCCGTGCCCCTGTCGTGTAGCACCGAGCGCCAGCCCAGGGTACTCCTAGAGGTGCTGCGCTGGTGTGCCGGGCCTCCGTGCAGTCCTGGGTCATGCCCGCGATGGGTTGTGGCACCTCTACGCTGCATCGTGGCCCTGGCCAGCTCTGCCACGCTGTGCCGGGTGTCAGTACTGGGGTCTATGCACACCGTGGGCTCTGCTCCCCCGTGTTGTGTAACTGTATTCTGCCTCTGTACAGTGTGGAGCTGCTGCATTGAGCTCTCAACACATCACACTGTGGCACTCCGTAGCCCTCTGTCTCCACGGACCTTTATAAAGTGCAGATTTTTACACGGCACGGGTTTGTGCATGGCCCTCTGCCTCCCTGCTCTGCTGCACTGTGTTTTATGTGACACAGAGTGTCCGCACGGTGGGGGGGTCTGTGTACTCTTTGCCCCCCATCCCCCTGCATAGCACAGCCCCTCATTCAGCCCTTGGCCTCTGTCTGGAGTTGGGCCAAGCCCTGTGCCTTCCCCTTAGAGCGCCAACATGGCAGCCTTACCGTTCTCCTCAGGATTTGTGGTGCATATTGGTCCGGGAGATGGGGAGTGCTTCTGGCGTAAGTTTCCCTGGTCTAGTTGGCTTCCTTCTATCCTCAGTGGAAGTGGAAGGATGTTGGCCTTGCTGGGGTCTGTGTTGGCTCCTGTGGGGGGGTGGGGTACCAGCTCAGTCTTTTCTCTCTGTGGTCCTGCCTAGGGTGATCTTCCTAGTTCCAGCCATGCATGCTGAATCCTGGGTGATTAGAAGGTAGTCACCCCTGCCCTTAATTAATTACTCATCAGTTATTCAGGGCTCTGAAGAACAGCTCCAGGGAACCCCGGGCTGAAGTCTGGGTGTGTTGATCTGGGCAGGTAAAGCAGTGAAATGGGCTGGACTGGGTCTCTGAGATGAAGTCATGGTCCTTGAGCCTGGGCGGGGTTGGTTGGGGTGAGACTAGTTGGGATCATGGGGTCAATAAGTCCAGCCACTGTTGGCCATCTGCTATACACAGGACTTCGGGGGGTGGGGTTCGAAGGTGTAAGAGACAGTCTCTGACCCTAGGGAAGGAGGAGGGGGGGTGGTTAGATGGGCCTGACATGGAGCTGTAGTTGGGGTGGAGAACATAGGACAGGGCCAGGTTGGGCAAGAATGTCCAGGGGTGAGGCCAGTGTCGGTCGCAGGGTTGGGTTAGGCTACCTAAAATAGAGATGTGGCTTCGGATGGTGAAATAGAACAGTGCTGTTATTGGGGATGTATCTGGTTTCCCCAGGCCAGGGTTGGGGCTATGCCTGTGGTTGGGTATGATCCCAGCCCCTAAACTTATAGTCTGTTGGGGGAGGTTCTGTTTCTCCTGGGGCCACCCTTGGGAACTGAATGCTCTATTGACAAATCAGAGAACAAAAATCTCATGGCAAACAAACTCTATTTACCTAGGGTCCTTCAGAAAATACTGTGGCTGGCAGCCGCAGTTGGCACAGAGCACCACTCCCTGTCTGGTGGGGAGAAAAGTCTGGTGCTCACACATGCACACACACATGCACACAGGTGCACAACTCCCCTCTACCCCGCCACATATATTCATCTCCTCTGTAGGTCCATGCTTATCCCTGAGTGTGGTCATAGATCTCCGCACGCGAATGTACACCCACACACCCACACCTTCACAGCATGCCGCCTGGGGGACCCACACTTGGGAGACTCATGCTTACTCTCGCTCACATACCTCTGCCCCACAGTCTCTCTCTGCCCTCAAATTATTCTTGCTCATGGGCATACTCACACAAATGAGACCAGCATTCTAGAGGTCGATGTGGCCTTAGAGGTCACCTGGGTCCCCATTCTCATTTTGTAAGTGAGGAAGCCGAGGTTCAGAGGGGGCAAGTCACCTGCCACAGGTCACACAGGGAATTAGACGCTCAGCAGCTATTAGATCCTGGTCTCCTGCCTCCCAGCTGCGTGCTCACAAGTCAGTACCAGGCTGTCACTCTCACAGCCACACACACACACACGCACGCGCACACACACACACACTCGTGCACACACACACACACACACACACGTCTGCATATGGAGACACATGCAAACGGAGACGAGGAGGCCCTCATGCCGGGGAGACCCCCTTCCCACACCCTGACTTCCTGCAGAGGTTGTGTTGCCCCTTCCATCGCCCCATCCATAGCCCAGCCGGATGTGGATAAGCCATCCTCCTGCCTTCCCAAATTGTGGCTGACGGTTGCTGAGGCAACCGCCTGCCAGATTGGGGAGATTAGCTGAGGAATGTAGCTGGGCCAGTTTGAGCTGAGGCTGGGGGAACCGGTGGGGGTCCTGGGTTGATTTAGCCCACCCTCTCTGGGAGGCCAGGGCAGAGATGGGTTCCCCCTTGTGGCGTCTGGTTTTCTCCCTACCCCAGCCTGGCTGAGACTGGGTCCCCGAGGCTTGCACTAGGCATGAGGAGGGGGGAGTGTGGGGCTGTGTGTGTGTGTGTGTGTGTGTTGTGTATCTCTCTGGGTGTGACTAGAGTATGTGCTGTTTGCATCTAGGATGGGGACCTCAGTTCCTGACATCTGACTGTGGCTTGTCCCTCCTGATTTTGTGGTGCCCTCTGGAGAACCCACCCACCCTCCTGGTTTAGAGGATCTGTCACTGTCTCATCTGAAGCCTGCTCAAACACCTATTCTGGCTTCCCAACTCCAACTTCTTGCCCAGATGCCTAAGGCCCTGCCTCCCTGATCTGGCCTCAGTCTTCCTTTTTCCAGCCTCCTTTCCCATCGCTTTGGCCAGTCTGCGCTCCCCTTTATGCTCTGGACTGTGTGTTTACTCCCTGCCCTCCTTCGCCTCAGAGGCCCATCTACCCACCATCTCTACTGGCCAGAATGACACCCATCTTTCCACGCTCTGCTCAGATGCACCCACCTCCAGAAAATCTTTCCCCTGGATCCCCTTCGTGGCCTTGGCCCTCCTCTGCTTTGTCTTATTCCGTCAGCCCCACTCAGACTGGGAGGTCCCTGAAGCCAGGGCAGGATCTTAATTATCATTATGCCTCTACTAGTGTCAGGCTGAGACCTGCTTTATACTGTCAGTGAGCAAATTTCCTGTGAATGGAACCGAATTAACACATGTGGCCAGCGGAATACCAGGGCCTTATTTTGTCTGGACCTAGTCTCCTTGAATAAGTAAGTGGCTTAAATCCTAGCTTCTGGGACTTAGAATGTGGCCTTAGAATGGCCACCTCATCTCTCTGAGTCTCAGTTTCCATCTGTAAAGCAGGAATAATAATAGTACCTCCTTATGAATTCCTATGAAGTTTCATGGGTGTAGGTGGCCATGGCGGAACGTGGCAGTCCCCTCACGGTGGTGTTCGTGTGTGTGTGCACGTCTGCGGCCACTGTCTGTGTTGATGGAGTCAAGAGGGATTCCCTGCTACCATTCTTGCTCTGAACCCAAAGTCTGATCTAGTTTTTCTCCCCCCACCCCACCCCAGGCCAGTGGCCTCCAGCCGAAGTTGGATCTTTCTCTAGCAGCAGCTGGGACTTAGCTCTGGGGCCCTTGAACCATCCAGACTGGAGGTGATAGGTTTTTCCTTAGGACCTGGGAGGCCTGATTGTTCCCACCCCAGGGGGAGCCGGAGAGAATGTGAGGATGTGGCTCTCATTGAGGAGCCTGGACCCAGAGATATTATCCTCTAAGTGCCATTGTTGGAATTGGCCTGGCCCCAGAGGCACCGCGTTGGGGGGGGGGGTGGACCTGGACCAGGGACAGTGAGTCATTCTGCCTAAGGGGACACTGTGGAGGGGGAAGGTCAGCTAGGGTGACCTCCCTGCCTGAGGCCAATTGTAGGAGTCATTTGGCAGAGGTCAGGGGACACTCTGGCCGGCGTTAGCTGGTCTGGGGTCAGTCAGACAATCTGGTGGTCATTCTGGATAAAGTCAGATGGTCTGGATGGTGTTGGGGTCACTCTGGCTGAGGTCGTTCTGTCTGGGGTGGGGGGGGGGGTCACTGACCTGGGTCAGTCTGGGAGTTACTCTGGCTAAGGTTACATGGTCTTGAGGGTCCATCTGACTAGGTTGGTCAGTCTGGGAGTCCTGACAGCTCACGTGGCCTGGCTTGGGATGGACCGGGGATGGGGGTGGGGGGGCGCCAAGGAGCTGGCACTCCCAGGCTTGCCTCAGGGCCATGGCTGAGATATCCTTGGGCAGCTGCCTTATAAAGGAATAGGAAGGGCCTGAGCTCCATCCAGGCTCTAGATCCTGGGCTTCCCTTTCTGGCCATCCCTCTGCCTTAGGGAGGCCTTGGCTAAGAACCTCAGGAGCAGACTGTAGACTCAGCTCAGGCTGAATGAAGTCAGCTCTCCCCTCCTTCAGGAAGCCCTCTTTGACCAACCCTACTGTCCATGGCCTCCCTTTGTGCTGTGCTGTGGGTCATTTTCTCGAGGGAGAGTTAAGGCCTTCTCAGCACAGATTGGGTTAAAACTTACCTCCCACGGGCCACAGGGCATGATGCTGACCAGAGCTTTTCGCACAAAGAGGCAAAGAGCATTTGGAAGGGTCCTGCACTAGCTCTGGAGAGAGGCTTCTGTAATTTCATCCCCTCCACTCAGTGCCAGCCTCATGCCCACATCTCATTGTTTTACACCCCGATGGGGTGCAAGAAGAGGAACGGGGGACCCCCAACAAGGGCGAGCCCCCTTTGTGCCCAGCTCTGCCGGGCATGTTTCCAAATGCTACTGCACGTGATCTGTGTGCCAACCTAGAGAAGTCCCCTGCAGCAGGTGAAACAGCAGAGCCCCCGAGAGTGGAGTCACTCCTGTGGGGCAGATGCCCGCCATGCCTGGCACATGGCCCTCACCCCCTAGTTTCTCTTCCTTCCTCTTCTTGAGCCTGGGAAGAACCCGGCTGTGCTCCTTCTCATAGTAAAGGACACGTGGGCTCTGGTATCTGACTGCCACGGGTTCAAGTCCCGCTTCTGTCTGTTGCTCGTGTAGGCTCAAGTGGCACCCGTGAAGGGCCACCATTTCCCGAGCGCTTGCACGCGCTAGGCGTCGTGGTCAGTGGACTCCCGCATTGCATCCTCAACAACCGCACACGCAGATGCGGAAACTGAGGCTCAGAAAGAAGTGACTTGCCCATGGTCGCACAGCTTGACAAATTACAGAGTCAAGATTCAATCCCACGTCTGTCTCATGGCAAAGCCCACCCACATAACCACTGTGTTGTACTGTGGATGGAGCCCTTCATCCCCCGGGGCCTCGGTCACCTCATCCGTCAGGTGGGGAGAAGTACCAGCGGCTGGTACATAACCCACACAGGGTCTGGCCTCACCACTTGCCCACGCATTTTCCTGGCTCCCCAATGCCTTGGACGGCCTGTGACGGGGCCGCAAGCACCCAGCTCTGGGAGTGACTGCAGGAACCAGTTTGCTGTTAACTTCTCCAACTGGTGGGGTTCTCACATTTATTCAGTGCCCGGCTCAGGGCTCCGATGAGCTACTAAGATACGTGGACCTCATTACTAGGCAAAGGACTCACATCTGTTTCTACCCCGCCTTCTTCCCTCCTTCCTCTTCTCCTCGTGCAAACTGTAAATATTGGGTCCGAATCACGGGAACTTGCTTCTCTAGTCATCCGCGTGCCCCGTCCACACATGACTGTGACTTCGCGTGTCCCAGGCCTGCAGGCAGAGACCGGAGCGGGGCGACTGGGCAATGACCGAATCCCCTAAACTCACCTGCCAAGCAGGAACAATAGGGGTCCCGGTCTCAGGAGGCGAGGCCTAAATGAGATGCCACCCTGAGAGCCGTTAGCGCTGCACCGGGCTTGCCTGAGATGATCAGTGGCCATTGTTATTTTTAAGGAGATACCATCAGGGCTGGCTTAGTGCATTCCTGAGCCCGCCAGTCCTGGGACCCACTGTCTGTCCTTTACGTGAAGATGGGGGGGCGGGCAGGGAGTGGGACACTGAGTAGGAGTTAGGAGAGGAGATCTCCGTTCAGACCCCAGCTCTGTTACTACCTGGCTGTGTGGCCTTAAGGAAGGCCTTAGTTTCCTCATCTGTAAAATGGGGATAATTCTAGACCTGACCTCATGAGCTGTGAGGCTCTAATGTTGTAGTGATAATGTTAACTAGTTTTCCCTGAGGAGGATCTTTGGTGGGTGGTTGTGCAGTGTGTGGTCCTGGGAGTGGGCAGTGTGGGGACGTCCCAGTATTGGGTGGTGACAGTGAAAAGAGGGAAAGGGTTGGAGGAGGGAGCAGTGAGGGGAGGCCTAGGAGAGGGAGGGGAGGAGGGTGGGCCTGGGTGGGCAGGGCAGTGAGGGGCACCTGGAGGGGAGCCCCAGGAGCCTTCCTGGCCAGCAGTGGTGCCCTAGCCAGGGCTAACCAGGCCCTGCCCTCACAGCCGGCTGCACCTTCGAAGAGGCGAGCGACCCAGCAGTGCCCTGCGAGTACAGCCAGGCCCAGTACGACGACTTCCAGTGGGACCAAGTGCAGATCCACCCTGGTACCCGGGCTCCTGCAGACCTGCCACACGGTGAGCCTACTCTCAACTCCCATTCCCCCTGGTCTCCTTCTAGTTCTAGCCACCCGCTGTGCGACCGTGGGCACATTCCTTAACCTCTCTGGGCCTTGTTTGCTTTTGCATCTGTAAGGACATACGTAGGACCGTGCATGTGGCGCTCTGTGCATGCTGTTCAATTGTGTGTATCGGGTAGTTTTACCTGTAAGATGGGTGCAGGTTCAAGCAATCAAAGACCCTTATAGGTGCTAAGGTAATACCCACTTCCCATTACTCCCCCTGCAGCTTGGCTCCCATCAGGTTGTCCTAAGTCTTCCACCGCCAGGGAGGCCCTCTCCTCCCTGGGAGCCTCTGAATCCTGGTCTCCCAAGACTTGAAGATGTTGATGCTGATGGAGCAGTAACACTGGGGGCTGGATGTTACAAGACCTTCCTTTCTCTGCCCCCTTCTTCCTGGAAGTCCCAGATCCTTCCCAGCTTCTACCTTGCTCTGCCCCATTTCAGGATGAGGCATTTATGGCATCGTGGGCACTGGACTGGGGGTCAGGAGACTAATTACATGGATTGTAGTGCTGGCCTCCTACTCTGATGAGGGCCCCTGCTATCCTGGTTCCAGAATCATGAAGACTGGGCTTCAAATCCTGGCCTCATCACTTTACCAGCTGTGTGACTTTGGGCGAGTCACTTAACGTCTCCGAGCTTTCGTCTTCTTAACTGTGAAGTGGAGAGCACAATAATCCATTTCACAGGGTTATTAGATAATGCCTACAGGGTATATAGCATGGGAGTGGCATGTAGGGGTTCAGTGAATGGTTAGTTGCTATTGTTGGAGGTATTTGAGGGGGCCCTCTGCACGGCGTACAGAATTAACTGGGAATTTAGAACAGGATAAGAGAGGTGGAGGCCAGCCTATGAACTTTATTAGTGATAAAGGCTGGGTTAGAAGACATAGCATAGGGTGAGAACGAGATGGGCTTGCTGAGGGAACTCCAAAAGTAGACAGCCTAAGGACCCCCCTCCCCTTCGCCCTGTCATAGTAGCGGACCAGGCCCTTTGCTACTCCACTCACAACATGGCTGCAATTGCACTGGCCCTCGAGAGTTCGGGTAGGTGCAGCAAAGGGTCTCAGTGGTGAGGCCAGGACTTGAAGCCGCCAGAGAGGCCTTCCGCAACCTGGCATGGGCGGCCGTTCAGCCCCGTCTCCTCCTGCTCACCTTGCCCCCTGGAGGCCTCCCTGCCTCCCCTTTCTGTGCCTTTGCTCACACAGCACCCTCCCTGGGGCATTCCTCTCTCCTTTGCAGGAACGGCTCTCAGCTCTTGGTTTGACCCCTGTGCTAGTGGGTATCAGAGTCTGACCTGTGTGACTGTGATCTGTCAAGGTGCCCACCACGGCAGGGACCCAGTGTGGGCTCTGCCTCTCTCTCTCACACCCGTAGGGACATGCCCAGTGAGAAAGGGGAGAGAGACATTTAGCATTTCGCGTGGGCCTTGTGCTGGATCCTGAGGCCGCAGTGGTCAGCGAGAGGGCCACCGTCTCTGCCCTCTCAGGGCACACATTCTAGGGAAGGGAGTTGGGGGTGGAGGGAGAAGGAAGGAGGGAGATTCAGAGACAGGGGAAGGAAGAGCCACAGGAATGAAGGGAGGAAATGAAGAAGGAGAGGGATGCAGAGTGGGGAAAAACTAGGGAAGAAGAGAGGAGAGAGAGGGGCAGAGGAGTGGGCCAAGCGGCACTGTTGGGGGCCAGGATGTGCCCCTTTCTGGGTGCGGACGGGGACTTGGGAGTTCTGTTTACTATCCCACCGGGACTGATCCAGGAGCCGCCTTCACAGGCCCCTGGCTTGCAGAGATGAATGAGATCCCCTCCAGTGGAGTCCCTGGGGAGCCCTCCCAGAGCAGGGAGCCTCGTGGTTTGGGATCTGAATGAGCTTGTTTTGGCTGGCAGCCAAGCCCGGGAGGAGGCGGTGCTGGGTGGCTGTGGGCACCCCCTTGGCAGCTGCTGGGGCCTTCTCCCCACAAAAGGGAAGCCATAATCCCCTAGCTGGATCCCGAAGGAGTCCAGTCCCTCCTACCCTGCCAGGCCCCCTCCACCCCCTGCCAGTACACAGCCCAGATCTGGAGAAGGAGATTGCTGCCTTTCTCCAGGTTGGAAGAGATTTGTATCCCAGGCGTTTAGACCCAGGGTGGGGGCTGGAAGGGAAGTTAGAGTCCTTTTATTCAATCTCTGTTCTACACACTCATTCAGCTTGGGTTCAGCCCTATGCTGGAGACACAGTGGAGCCTCCGAGGCATCACAGGCTGGTGGGGAGACAGATACTTTATTAATGATCCAAGGGCCAGGAGAGAAGCCTATAGAGGGACAGGGAGGGAAGACTTCAGAAAAGGTAGCCTTTGAAGGCCTGTCATGTGCCAGACTCTTGACTCCTAGATGAATGACCTAGTTAGTTAGTCCCTGCCTCCAAGGGCAGCTCAGCACATGGGGAAAGTCGTAGATCAGCATGAGCTTGGACTGTGATCGTAGGTGGTGAGGGACCATAAAGGGTTTGGAGAGAGTCAGTTTTGTGTGTTTTTTGCTCTCTCCTCTGGGAAACAGATGCAGGGAGGTGAAGGGACTCAGCATAGCGGGTCAGAGCTGGGACCAGAACTCAAAACCCTTGATTCCTAGTGGGTCCAAATGCCTGAACTCCTTTGTTTCTGTCCCCCTCCTTTGCCCACCTGACTTTGGTCCTCCCCAAGCCTCCTCAGCTCCTGCCTCTTCCCTTTCTAGGCTCCTACTTGATGGTCAATGCTTCCCAGCATGCCCCAGGCCAACGGGCCCATGTCATCTTCCAGAGCCTGAGTGAGAATGATACCCACTGTGTGCAGTTCAGCTACTTTCTGTACAGCCGGGATGGGCACAGCCCGGGCACCTTGGGCATCTACGTGCGTGTCAATGGGGGTCCCCTGGGCAGTGCCGTCTGGAATATGACTGGATCGCATGGTCGTCAGTGGCACCAGGCTGAGCTGGCTGTCAGCACCTTCTGGCCCAATGAATATCAGGTAGGCTGGGTTTGGTCTGTGGTCAGCCTGTGCTTAGGGGAGTGGGTAGAGAGGTGTCAGCCCGAGGTCAGAGTAAGCAAGTGACCGAGGTTGGAATTAGTCTGTGTTCAGCATCAGGAGTCAATATGTGGTCAAGGTCAGGGGTCAGTCTGTGGTCAGCATCAGGCTATTCAGTGCTGCTGTGGTTTGGGTTCAGCATCAGAGATCATTGTCAACAGAAATGGTCTGTGGCTGGGGTCAAGGGTGAGTTGGAACAGTGCTGACCTGGAAACCCTGTCTGCTGGGAAAAGTTTTCCTGCTTGAAGGTAACTGTCCAGAACTGGGAGAGAACCTCTGGCCTTGACCTTGTTAGCTCTGGCTGCTGACACACCTTCCCACAACTAGCTGGCTTGGTAGGGAAGGCCGTTGTGAGTTGGGCTGACCTCTGCTGGTTGAGGAGCATGGGACCGGAGCAGAGCTAAAAGGGGTCTCTTGTGGGCACCTCCCCAGGTAGGGCTGGAGGGATATGACAGGGAACCTCCCGCCTCCCCCAGGTGCTGTTTGAGGCCCTCATCTCCCCAGACCGCAGGGGCTACATGGGCCTAGATGACATCCTGCTTCTCAGCTACCCCTGCGGTGAGTCCCAGCCCACTGGGGTGCAGGGTGAGGGGTGCCGGTGGCCACGGCTCCTGACTGTGGCGGGCATCGGCCCAGCTCACACTGTGGCTCTATTCCCGCAGCGAAGGCCCCGCACTTCTCCCGACTGGGCGATGTGGAGGTCAACGCTGGCCAGAACGCCTCCTTCCAGTGCATGGCAGCGGGCAGAGCAGCAGAGGCAGAGCGCTTTCTCCTGCAGGTGAGGGGGTGCAGGAACCTTAGCCAGGGTGGGGGGAAACTTCTTCTGGGACCTGGGTCCCTTGCGGGGTGTGGAGTCGTTCCTTCCTTTTCCAGCACCCATACTCATGCATCCCTGCTCTCACCTAGGCTCTGCTCTGCCCTCTTGGGTCCTCTTATACCCCCAGGATAGAGGGTGACTCCAGGATCCCCCAACCACTCTCCATCGGAGGTAGAGACCATGTTCCCTTAATCAGCTTCTCATCCCGCGCCTTCCTGTGATGGAGCTGATTCCAGGAACCCCATAAGTCCCCTGTGTACTAGGGACGGCTAAATGGGGCCAGGACATGTACTACTCCCCTCGCCCGGGTCAGAGCGAGATTGGGACCCTGCCTCCCCAGCGCTCCTGACATTGTCGACCTTACCCCTGCGCAGCGGCAGAGCGGGGCGCTGGTGCCCGCGGCCAGCGTGCGGCACATCAGCCACCGGCGCTTCCTGGCGACCTTCCTGCTGGCCTCCGTGAGCCGCTCGGAGCAGGACCTGTATCGTTGCGTGTCCCAGGCCCCGCGCGGCGCGGGCGTCTCGAACTTCGCAGAGCTCATCGTCAAGGGTCAGCGCGTGCGGGCGCTCTCCCGGGGTGGGGTTGGGGGTGGGACCTGCACCATCTGAAGGGCGGGGCCAGGCGAGGGGGCGGGGTCTGGTCTAGGGGCGTGGCCTGTAGAAAGGTGGGGCCGTGGGGGGAAGACTGGGAG